AGTGCTTGCATTATTCAATTAATACCTGAAAGGCGTATGTTTTATGCAGCATTTACTAAAGCATCCACCAGTCGTATACCACACACAAACACACCCACACAAACACAGGGACTGTTTGCATCCCGGGAGAAGACTGGACTCCCCTTCCATTTTGCTAAATCAAATATACAGTGAGAGCAAGCTAAAAGGCACTTTCAATCAGCCGCTCTGGGTCTGTCTGTCAATCTGGGAACAACAACAATCTAGCCTACTTGGAGTGGTCTAGTCAACATCCATTCCCCAATAAATTCAATCAGTGAAGCTTTGTGTGTGCGAGTGTGTGTAAGAGTTGCGCGTTGTGTGTGTCTAAGTGCAAGTGTTTACGGCAAAGCGAAAGACAGAGACTGTTTCCGACAGAGTTGTTTTAGAACAACAAAAGATCATTTTAAAATGACATCTGAAAATATATAGAATGTTGAATATTCAAGAAAAAAAAAAGATAATGACACATCCAGGCTGGGAAATACAGGAAATGCATAAGAAGATACATTTTACTTTGAGCATATTGCTATTCCTCGTTCACACTGACAAAAGGAATCTGCAGTTCACCAAGTCATCTTAGAAAGCCAAGTGGAAGTTAACAGGCCTGAGCTAATGACATTGATGTGGAGGGCTGCACGCTGGAGTGATTGTCTGACTGTTTGAGACCCAAAAGCAGCACCAGCGAGCTCATCATGGACCCGCACTCTCATTATTTGGCCACAAATGGAAATGCAAATCGCTCGCTTTGCTGCGGACGCCTCAAATGTATTAAACTAAAAGGTTTAATTTCCATTTTTCTCTGCATCAGCTTTATTTATAAATGTCGTGCCCTATGAAGACCCTGTTATTTTCTCCCACTCCTGCAGGCTCTTAACAAATCTGCTCATTAATATGGAAATGGAGAATCAATCGCTTTTCCGGCGACAGCGTGCAGTTTCTCTCTGCGGTGTGAAATGTGCTCCGACTGGTCGAAGGCACAAACAAATTCACAAGCATACACACACAAAATATATAAAGCCATATTTTTTAAACTATATCTATACCGTGCCATATAAATATTTATAGAAAAATATTGCATTCTATATTATATTTTACTATATGGTTGTAACATAATTTCAATTCTGACTTCCCTGCCCATTTAGACAACTATCAGCCTATTGCCAGAATGGCAGCAGATGTCGCAGCATTAATAACCCATAATATCAAGTCCTGCTTATCCAACCTTTTCAGGGCCCTAAAATAACACTCATAGACCTTAATGAGATCTAATTATGCACAAGGTTCTTATTCAGGGCAATATGATGATAATTGCATCTGTGGCTTTTAACACTTGGGTGTCATGTTGGCCAGTAAATTGCCTCTCTTCCTCTCCGTCTGTCCTTCTGCCTGACTCTCTCTCCTCTCTCTGTCTCTTACAGTCAACATCTGGGAGTGAACCATCACACCTATCCACTCTGGTCCGCGACCTAATGAACATTTCTAAATGGCCATGACCAGCTGGTTAAGAGACTAATGTTGCAGCTATTAGCCAAAGCGGTTGTTTCCTCACAGTCATCTGTGGAAAGCAGCATAGAAAGGCAGGAGAGAGTGGGCAAGGACAGACATCGCCCTGCTTTCACACTATTCTTCTCCACACACACATCTACAGTACACACAGACACAAACGTTGCACAGCATGTTTATCTTTCACATTCTGCAGCAAACAAACCATGTGACGCATTCTCAGCCCACAGTGCATTAGTGCTTATTAGGGCCTCTAGGTGTGTGTGAGTGTATATGTCTGTGTGTGTGTGAGTCTTATTAGAACAATTCAGTTTCACTCAAGGTCTCAGCACTGTGGTTGCAGACCACTGACCATTGATTATTCATAGAGTCTGTGATTGGGTCCATTAATACAAGATTAGGGAAGGAACTGATGCTCATTTTGTGTGTGTTTGTGGACAGGAGTTGAATTGTAATGAATCCAGTTTGTGTTTATCTAGAGTTTATCACTGCAAAACATTATAGATACAGTACATAAGATGCACATTAGGGTTATTAGGTGATTAGTAACTTATTATCATAACACAGTTTATAAGGTATAACATGTTATCTACTATAACACCAAAGTAACACAGTGCCTTTGTTTGAAAATGAGCAATAGGAATCAAACAATAAAAGGGAATATTTAACCTCCTTCATTTACCACATACTGTACGATTTCCACCTAATAGCATTTGTTCTTCAATTGAAACTTAATCTGGGTAAATGGTGCTTAAATGTTTAAATCACATTTACAGGCTGTCAACTGATGTGATGTTCTTCACATGGTCACCCTTTGTTTGAATGAAAATAAATTGATGGCAAATGAGAAAGGATTTAGCAGAACTGGTTGAGCAGACATATTGAATCATAGCTCCCCCAAGTGGCCATTTTGGGCAACTAACAGAAGCCCAAAGCCAATGTGGTCCGATTCTTCTTATAGAGACAAGTTAAATAAAATGATTTTCAGTAAATTGTCTGGGATTGCTGCTGAGAAAGAGGTCAGTGTTACATATCATCAAATGAGACCACTGGGTTCGCCTTTCCAGCTCTTTCTCACAGGCAAGAGATCAACTGGGCAGCAGACACTTCCATATATCATCCTCGTCGTCATCATCATCATCATCATCATCATCATCATCATCATCATCATCATCATCATCATTAACTTAATCATCAGGTGGAGGAGATTGCTGAGGAGTTTGACCTACAGGAGCTCAAATACTGTGTGACAAAGTAAGCATGGAAAGTAATAAAAAGAATACCAACCATATACATTTATAAATGTACCTTGTTTTATTTTCGAAACTTCAAATACCATGTGGGCGAGATCTGACATTCAATCTATACAGTGTGTGCAGGGAATGAAATATATTTTTATTTATTTGGGGCTTGACTGAAAACATGCAGTAACACAATAGTGGATTAATGCAGTGGTGTCCAAACTATGGCCCGGGGGCCAACTGCGGCCCGTAAAAATGTGTGATCTTAAATATATATGTAAACTCAATCACACCGTAGTATTCATGTGTTAAGAAGCCCACTTTTCAAATACATTTAGTCAAAGTTCAAAACATTTTCTAACAAATCTTACTTCATAAAAAAGCCAAATAACTTATTTGCATAACAAGCTTGAAATAGACCCTTCATATGTCCCTTTATTGTAAGCAATCTGAGGTTTCTATATTAAGGAATGAGCTGCCAACAAAATAAATAAAACCCTAGTGACAGCTGTGATGGAGGCTGTTTTTTTTCCTTTCTTAAAGCATATTCAAGTATCAAGCATAATTGATCTACATTTGATTGAGTTGGTAACTTATAACTTGAGTTTCACTTTCGATTGCATGATATAGCCCAGTGCAACACCTTCGTCACACATGTTGCCACTTGTTTGTACCATTTTCAGGCGATTTGTAATCTGTTCTAGAAAAACGATGTGTTTTTAGGATTTTAAGAAGCATATAGAACAAACAATGGATGTATTTTATGAACATTTATCCTTGCTGGAAGTAGATTTAGATGTTTTAGGAGTGAGATAGAGATTATTATCTAATATATGCATCCAATTAAGCATTGCATGAAGTCTGTTGATGAATCAGAGGCTGTTGTTGGGGCTGCATAAACGTTTTTTAATTTTGGTTTTGTAGGCAGACCATGCAGGCCAGCCCAATGGTCACCAAGGTTCATGTTTTAATAGCATTTTTACAAAAAAAGCCCAGGCGAGCCTAACATGTGAAAATATGGCTTAGACCTCAGAGAGTTAAACTTGGGCCTGCGACCATAGTTTTACTGTATTTTGTAGTTTGTGTCGTACTACATGCGGTGTATTTTGCATATCTCTCAGTAGCCAACGATCTGTGAGTCTGTTGGCTCGGACATAAACTCCGTAATAAAGTAGTCTACATTTCATAAGAGGTGTAAAACCTGTGAGCATTTTAAATCGCATTTGAACGGAATGCTTATATGCGATATAGAGAAGTTAAGCTGTCATTATTAGGGTGTAATTTGTTATAAACTATTGGAGGGGTAAGCAGGCCTTTTGTTTTTGGATATTTGTGGAGTTAGATGGTCCGTGAGTGTTGTTTTATTGGTTAAGTGGTCCTTGGTATGAAAAAGTTTGAGAAACACTGCTCTAGTAAGTGGCCCAGCGCTTCATATATTTTTCTATATGTTGCCCTCAGTGAAAAAAGTTTGGACACCCGTGACTTAAGGTAAACATTTTTTAAATATTGTATTAAGGCCGGATTAAACTGGGGAAAGTAGGCAACTGCCAGAGGGTCAGGTCTACAGAAGCCAGAGAATGTAAACCACTAAAGTATACAGTAATGCGATCGGAATGTAATCACGATGTGATCTAAAGCAGATCCAAATAATCAGGTTGTTCTTTCATAAGTGGGCCATGGGTTGTGGGCCATGTGTTTTAAACCTAACCTTAAACAAAGACATGTTTATTTAAATGACCACAAACAAACAAACAAATTGTGGGACCAGACAGTAATCCAGCTAATGAGGCCTGATTGATTTTTGTGTCTGAGGGAATAAAGAAAATGCCATGTAATGATTTGTGCACTGTACTTGTAAACTTGGAGGCAGGGTAGGTGGGCCTGCAACACTCACAGATGGTGGGAGATGGTAGTGGAGGACGTCAATACGGGTCCAACATTAAAGAAGAATAAAAAAAAAATGACATTACATTGCCATGTGTCTCAAATTACAATCATGATTGAATGAGAAAGTGTGTATCCGACAAGTCAATATTCCAATCTAATCCTCAGTATTAATAATACATATGATTTTTATATGCGAGACAGCGAGACAAAAGGGCATATTATTCTCATACACAATACACTGCGATGTACTTTTCATACACAGTTTATGGATGTTCAGTACCTGTCCAGACGTCATGCTGTCCGCGGTGCTGAAGCAGTGACGTAGGAAGTTGACGCTCTTCACGCATCCGCTCCTGCCATTTTTGTGCTACTGGCTAGCTTGCTTAGCAAGGGGTCTCCATCAGCAGGAGGCGGAGAAAGACTGCGGGCAAACAGAGAGAGCAGTCGAATCAAGAGACTGAACCTTACCTGGAGAACCGGGGGGCTCTTCCACACAGGAAACAGTTATTAGAAAGGCTGTACAATGTCCGATTTTGACAGCAACCCGTTCGCAGACCCGGACTTCAGCAATCCCTTTCAGGTAGCCAACTGAGCCATCTAGCCTACACGCTTCATAGCCCAATGAGGCCAGTCTTAGGTTAGCATCCCTGCTATCTGTCCAAGCTAGTTAGCTAGAGCGTTTCCTGGGAAGCAGAACAAGCTAATCCTCATTCATAATATTCATCTCATCACTGACACGGTATATGGCAGCTCACTTAGTAAACGAGGCAGTAAAGGCTCAGCTAACAATCTGTTGCTGAGGATGTTTGTTATCAACGTTGCGATAAATGTATATAGCAACTAAGAACAAAGACACATGATGTTAGCTAGCTAGATGCCCACCGTCAGTAAACACTTGCTGTCACCTGCTAGCTTGGTAAATAAGTTTGATAACTGAATGGTTACCTCTCTTATGGGCATTGTATGCTTAGCATTATATCCAAATCTCACTGGCACGCAGGTCTTGGACATTTAAACGTGTTATTGGAGTTCTATATCAAACACATCAGTGCTCCAATTCAAACATAAACGTCGCACACAACATTGACTAAAACATTGACTTCCTCCTACTCATCTTATTGTGGCATAATATAAAAGGGTAATTTCTCTACATCTTACATATCTGATCGTACAGAAAAGGCTGGTTTGTTTTGTATTGTAGGCTAGATGGAGGCAACAAGCTGTTTCTTTGGGCTATAGTTGAGTTGATCTTACCTTCAACCAAGACAGTCAGCTGCTCTTCATCCTAACAGCTCACCTGAGTGGGTGATTTAAATGTTAAGTCCCTCCCCTGCAGGTGTGGTAACCAGTGGGTGGAGTCTTGGTTGGAATGAAAACCAGTCAATTACATTACATTGCATTTAGCTGACGCTTTTATCCAAAGCGACTTACAATAAGTCAACTGTTGGCTCTTCATGTCACATGGTGCGCCACCTTACACTACCATAACCTTACACTACCATAACCTTACACTGCCATAACCTTACACTAACATAACCTTACACCACCATAAGCTTACACTGCCATAACCTTACACTGCCATAACCTTACACTAACATAACCTTACACCACCATAACCTTACACTACCATAACCTTACACTACCATAACCTTACATTACCACAACCTGACACTACCACTGTCCTCCCTGGCAAACATGTCCCTGGTGTTTCCCAGTTCCCCTCCTGATCCCATTCCTAAAGTCTTAAATGGCCGCAATATCAAGACCAATTTACATTGTTTATTGTTAGGTTATTATTTGTATTGTGTTGCATTTAAACCTTAGTCTCTGGTTCCACCTTACCTGCTGTCAACACAACATTAATAACTGACAAGAACAAGTGAATTACTGGACCAAGTGATTATGCGGTCATCTAACAACAACAATATATAAGCTTTTTGGTTGTAGTAGTACCCATCATGGTCCCTTTTCTGTCCTGTAGGATCCCTCAGTGACTCAGGTGACCCGGTCTGCCCCTCCTGGTGGTCTGGAGGAGTATAATCCCTTCACAGATGCCAAAACGGTCAGCTTTACTAAATGATTACCAGTTGTTTCTGTGCTTATTAACCTGATTTCATCCACTACCCTACTTCTCCCTTCAGCTACAAAGTGACAAAAAATGACTGTGGCCTAATTACACTTTACATTTGCTGTCTGTCTTAAGGTTGCACATATATTAAAATAGTCCATGCTGGTTTACAGGCGGCCCCTGGGAATGCTCCCAAAGCGACTCCTGTACCTTCCCAGCAGAACACACAACCTGCCATCATGAAACCCACAGAGGAGCCGCCAGCCTACTCACAGCAACAGAGTCAGGTACTTGTTTATATATTGAATCGCCTGCAGTTTTATAGCATATTTACAGTCACTCTTTATCTTTTTGTTTCTGGTTCACATTTCTTATGTTCCGTCATTCTTTCATCTGTTCTCTGATGGCCCAACAGCGGCGCAATGAGGTACTGTCTACCATCTTAAGAATTGTGTCTTTGTCTTGACTAGTGTGAATTCAGAACATTCCCCAGCTTTGCTCATGCTGTTTAAATGTAGAGATAGGTTAAACCCATAGTTAAACCTAAAGAGAAAAAGCGTAAACCACAATAACACCTTGCCTTTCCAATTATAACCCCTTTTTTCCTCCTTCTCAAACTAGCAGACCCCTGAGCTTACCTAAGTGGAAAAATACCTTAACTACTTATCTGATTGGATATCATACCTCCTGTCAGATGTTGGACAGTCACTTTAACAAGTATTTCTGTGTCAGGACCAAGCACGTGTTCAGGCGGAGTTGTTGAGAAGGCAGGAGGAGCTGGAGAAGAAAGCGGCAGAACTCGATCGTCGGGAGAGAGAACTCCAGTCCCACGGAGGAGGTCAGTCAGTTTATCTACTACTAACTCATCAACCTCAGTCTGAAGGCTCATCCCAATAAAAGCTTGGTTAATGACAATGTTTTGACTCAGAAAGTGGATGTGTTACCATAGCAGCAACATCATTTGTTTCTATTTGTGATTAACAGCATATCTCTGAGTCATTACATTCAATACAAACATCAAACTGTGTTTCTTTAGACTGAGGGTCCATACAAAGTGGCTTTTTTTATTTTTATCAATGAGGATAGAACGTATGCTGGCGTAGCCGCCTTATATACTGTGGGCCTGCACGCGCATTCAGGTAGGCTTGCCCTGATTGGCCGGCTACGTTTATACAACTTCAGTGTGTGAACGCTCGCATATCATTGATGAGAGTAGTACCCATAGAGTCCAGTAGAGGGCTCCGCCTCTGCTTATAGAACTAGGGTTACAATACGTAACCCCCTGTTTTCTACGAAGGGTTGCTAACCTAATTAAGGCATCAAAATACACAGGCGATTTCGAATAAAAAAAGTGACAAAGATTTTACTCACACTCATGCCTTAATATTTGTTTGCATATTACAGGTTATATGCCGTAATCACAATGCTTTAGATTTAACCAAAAAATTCCAAAATACAGGTTTTCTATGTATTTTTTTCATTTGCAGATTGTACTATACACTGTACATTTTGTTTCTATCGTTGTACACACACATGTTGCTTCAAAGTATAATACTTCATAGTATAAAATCTAACTCTTATTCTTTACATTGCTTATCATTAAAACACTGTTGCCTTTGTCCACACAGGGCGTAAGAACAACTGGCCTCCACTGCCAGAGAAGTTCCCCGTTGGTCCATGTTTCTACCACGACATTGCAGTGGACATTCCTGTAGAGTTCCAAAAGACCGTGAAGATCATGTACAACCTTTGGATGTGTAAGTGGAACATCCAACACACCCCTAATGAGCTGTATTGCCTCCTATACCTGTGACCTGTGATCACACTTGGCTTCTCTTCAATGCAATATATGGGATTGTGAGACTGCATTGAATTTGGACATTAAACACACGAGCACATCAACAACAAGGACATTAGAAAACAAAAATATGTGTACTTATGCTGAGCATAAATTATGATTAACTGTGTCTTTTATTTTGTTGTTTTTCTCCCAGTCCATGCATGCACGCTCTTTGTGAACATGTTCGGCTGCCTGGCATGGTTCTGTGTGGATACATCTCGCGGTGTAGATTTTGGCTTGGCCATGCTATGGTTCCTGCTGTTCACTCCCTGTTCCTTTGTCTGCTGGTACAGACCGCTTTACGGGGCTTTTAGGTAAGCAGATACATGGAAAATAACATTGAGATTATTATTATTAGAGAACAGTTCACTGTGCACAGCCATGATGTGTGCAAATGAAGCTTAGCAGTATGTGATCCAAGTATGAATACAAACAAAAAAGCAGTGGCCATTTGACCTTAATATGCTCTTACTTATTGAGGTTATTGATGCTCATTCTTTATCCTCTTCTTTTTTTCCAACCCTATAATGAAGTACCAAGTTAAAGGTAGGGTAGGTAATTCACTTCAGAAACACTTTTTGTTATATTCCATGAAATGCTCTTAACATCCCGATAGCAATGAATAAATTACATGCTTTGAGAATAAATATATACAAATATTTCATCTGTGGAAGCGGTGGCGCTGTAAAAAGCACGACCAATTGGCAGGCAGGTAGGCCAATTGGATGGTCTACCTGCCTGCCAGCCTTCCATCTCTTGTGTACTTTCAAATTCTAGCTTACTCAAGCTGGTTTCTCCATTCTTACCTACCCTACCTTTACCTTTATGAATAAAGCCAGACCTTCAGACATCAATTCCTGTTTAATGAATAATGCCTCTTTTTATTTAATAGCCCACTCTTACTACCTTGTTCTCTGTGTCCTCTACAGGAGTGACAGTTCATTCCGCTTCTTTGTCTTCTTCTTCATCTATATCTGTCAGTTTGGCGTTCACGTTTTACAAAGTATTGGCATCGCTGGCTGGGGTACATGGTTAGTAATTGTGCCTTTACTGATTCTGTAACTCTATGAGTAAGTGCTAAAGATTACTTACATTGTTATTGTTTTGGTAGTGGTTGGATCGCAGCTTTAACTGGTCTGAATATCAACATCCCAGTGGGCATCATCATGGTGCTGATCTCAGCTCTGTTCACTGCGCTGTCCGTGGGATCACTCATCATGTTTAAAAGGGTAACACAATCACACACAAAACATATCAGTGCCGGCTGCGTTTCTACCTGAATAGCTAGCATCTCATTATTGGAGACTGCCCATGATAATAAAGTTAAAATATATGCAAATAAGTTAAACACCATTGCTATCTACACTATAAGTAAATGTTTGAATAGAGAGTGGGGAGATGCACTCTGACTAACAAGCTGACTGCATTATGAAATGTGAGTGCAAGCAGGCAAAAGTGACAAGAATAAACAGAATACTGTGCGTCACTACTAATGTTGAGCCAAATGTCAGTGTTGTGATGAGCCAGGAAGTTAAACCTCTGCCTAACTGTATTGTGTAATTCTTCCAAAGGCATGCCGGGAGATTTAATATTACCTGACTTGTATAACGTAACTTATTTATATTTGTCTGCTCTTTCCAGGTGCACGCACTGTATCGTACCACCGGGGCCAGTTTTGAGAAGGCTCAGCAGGAGTTTGCAACTGGGGTCATGTCTAACAAGACCGTCCAGACCGCGGCCGCCAACGCCGCAGCTAATGCTGCAACCAATGCTGCTCGTGGGGCCTTCAAACCTCAGCCATAAACAGACGCGCCCACATACATGCACACATGCTCATAAATAGAAGCATACACTCACACACACAAATGTTGGAGGTGTACAACTCTGGCCTTGCAGGTTCTCAGATCAAATGAATTCTATTTATGAATGTTGTTATTCTAAGATTGGCCTACACACGTTGCTAAAAAATAGTAACCAGAGTTGTCCACCTTCACTTAAGATCCAGTTTTAGTAAAAAACTCTCAAGTAGTTGAATCATCCACAAAGATACTCAAGATGTGCTCTGAGTGTGTGGGATTTCATAACTCGCTCCTCTTTCCCCGTCCTCCTGTCCCGTTGAGGTGTTTCTAAGTCAGGCAGAGGTTGCAGTATTTTTGTCATGGTGATGACCTCCAGACAGCTTCCTGCCAGGTAAATTCAGTATAGATTAATGAAAAGTGATAATATGATCATGGTGTTTTGCACATAGTTCTGTTTTCTTGGTCACAAAATGAAAGTACAGAGGGTGTTTGTATGGCTGGGCCTGCGCGTGAATGTGTACTTCACTTAACGAGAACTCTTTCATTTAGATCTGAAAGGTTAATCATCCTTGTCCTACATCTGTACTTCTATTCTGAGATGAATACACTCCTGGTCATTCATATTAGTAAAAGTATTTCAGTATTATTTTATCTAGGACCTTCCTGCAGCCCTTAGCAGTGACTTATTTCTGAAATATTCCCTGTTTGTGAGCTATACTTCAAACACCAAAGTGGGATAGCTTCATAAGATTTGACAGCATGATAAAGACATGCATGTTCAGCACACTCAACGTAGCTGTTTTTCAAAGCCAATGTCCACTATTAGCCTTTTCTCTGGTTACAGGTGGGAACTGGTTTAGGGGGAGGAATGTCAGCCTACCTATTTTTCCCTAGTTGGATTATGTGTGAAGTGAGCTGTGAAGTCAGTGCATGTCCCTGGTTGACTGATTGATGATGTTTGGATCTATTTGTGAAGACACACTGAACCCCCAGGTCAGCAGGGTCACCAGTTCTCACCACAAACCCAAAAGAGGGTCAGTCAGATGCTTTCATGGCCAGGTGCAACTAAAAAGGGACAAACATGAGAAATATCCACTTTTCTTTATGTACTTTAGGTGTGGCATTAACAGACTACTGGGTGGCTTCATCTCAGTTGTTTTTGTAGCACTCTGTTTAAAACTAACGCTGAATCTTGTGCTGTTATTATTCTTTTGGAAAAAGACACATTCATAGAGAGGACGGAGAGAAGTGAACAGCCTTTCTTTGACGATGACATTGGTTTTGATTTTTCTAGAGATTAACCTGTATACATAAAAAAGTGAAACTGATACTGTGTTTACCTCCACAACATAGCTAACACTCCATTTGCTTTTCTAAAGACAAAAGCAGTCAGTCCAGTTGTTTTTCCTCTGGCATAAGAAGTTTCATATCTAAATTGAACATTTAGTAAGAGAGGATTCAGTGATATGACTAAATGAATTAATTTATATACAATAATAACAGTGTTATTCAGAACTAAGTTGTACAGACTACTGTCAGTGAAGTGAAATATGGACATGTGTTATTTGTCGCGGTGGTGAACGTCTGAAGCTGTGCACGATGACTGGTGATGCCGGTTTTACAAATGTATGGACCGAACATTATAGTAGATGAAATAATCCTGTGAATAGAACCAAGTTGACGATCAATGATTTGTTAGGAAATCAGCCAACGCCTCGACTATTGTTTTTGTTTGTTAATATTTTTGTTTTAAGTTCATTGCACTTTCTTGTTTTACGTTGAACTTAGTGCAAAAGACAAGCGTTGTTATTTATGGTGTAATTTAAGTTGTTTGCATTTTCCAATTTGTTTGGTTTGATTTTACATGATGTGTTATGTTTGTGTGGTTTTGTAATGACATGATCATAACATCAGCTAGATTTAAGAGTGTTTAATGACTTTGCAACTTGACCCTGCAAGATGTGCTGGAATGGATGAGAATGTGTAGGATTCGTATGAAAGGCCCTAAAGTGTTATTCTGTGCAGAAAAGCTGTGAGAAATCTACCAAATGTCCATATAGATTTGTTTTTAAATCTTGGTTAGTGATGTGTTCCCTTGCCATGTTTTACTTTAAGATATTACTTTTATTTTGCTACAAACACCCACATGATTCCCATGTGTCTAAAGTTTTGGAAAGTTGTCAAGAATCATGCCACAGAATCATTTCTTGATGTATTTGGGCAAGTTGGTCCGCAGTATAACCGATGTATTTGAAGTTTGCTGACACATCACTGTGTTTTTTACCCGTGACCATGTTATTTCACTGAATCAGAGAAGAAACCTATTCAAAAAGGGACACTTGTATATTTTGTAAAGTTGAAAATTTGATCCCCATTATCAATCACATGTAAAAAGAACTTAATGCACTCTTGTCTGGCCTTTGTTGCATGTGAAATAGTTTGAGTTTTGTATATTTATGGTATTAACATGGAATAAAATGTGAAAGAAATATTGATTGACTTATTTCCTGAAAGTTACAGAACTTTTGTTCTGTGTAAAAGATTGTCCGAAATATTTGCTTCAGATCAGTTAAGTAATCCATTAAAATGAAACATCCCTCTTGTCTGTTTGAACGTACAGAAGTCGACAGTAATTCAACCGAAACGTCTTACATTAAGGTAAGGTTTTAAGAGGATTGCCAAAGTAAATGTAATAAAACGTTCCATGTATCTTGCATCTCTGTTTGTGAATCTCGGGGGGGGGGGGGAAGCAAATGTTCTGTTCCGTCTACTCTTCGTCTCTAGGTGTCAGTGTTTCCTTAGTTTGGTTTAAAAAGGGAAGCAACATGAAAAAAGGAACTGAGAGAAAAATACATGTTTTAAAACTCATCACAGATATATTTAAAGAAGGCCTGGTTTATTTGAGTAGAAAGTACAGACAGATCTCTCACACATATCAACCTCTCATACATGCAGCATTATACAATGTGCCACGGATGCTGTTACCCTTTTGTTAATGTAACAAAACAGAGTACAGTCAAGATATACATTTGAGCACAGACAGACTAGAAACGTCTCATCCTCTCCGTCCACTCTCTCTCACAGCAGACACTATATAGTTGAATTATTGCACATCTTATCTACAAATAATAAAAGTGATCACATGATGTTACATTTACAGCAACTTGATGAAGCAGGTTTAGGAAGTTATGAAGCAATTTGAAATGAATTGAGAACCAAGTGCAAAATACAATACTCTGATCTCCAAAAGTACCAAACAAAACAGGTCTGCCCTAATCAAAGCATCACTGAAAACCCATTCATTTAGCAAAAGCTCAACAAAGCCTTTTTAAAATGTAACCGGTTCTTTGGGCATCTTTACAAACCAGATCTCGTCTGTGTGCTGTGTAGTAAGGTAACCCGTGATAATCTCTGGTGCAGCCTGCTTTATCTCGCTTTGAGCAAACATCTCCTCATGAAAGTCCACCATAGAGAAACACATGGCGAGTCTCGGTTCTGTTCACACACTCTGCCAGTTAATAAGCTGCAAGAGACCCACAAACAATCCATTTAACAGGGAAACCACCTTTAAAGTGAATGATCCCTTAAGTGGCATATGGAAAGTTAGAGAGTCCTGCTGTGCCACACAATCAGATCATAAAGAAGTTTAGAAAACACAACAGTAAATGTCTGTCACACACACACACACACACACACACACACACACACACACACACACACACACACACACACACACACACACACACACACACACACACACACACACACACACACACACACACACACACACACACACACACACACACACACACACACACACACACACACACACTCCCAGACATACACACTCCCAAGCCCTTGTTGGGAGTCTAAATGGACACATCTGCTAGTATTCAGTGGTTTGTTACGTTTTGCAGGTGAACCGTGTGAATGAACATTATAATGACGTTATAAACATACGCACTGACTTGCAGTCATTAACCTGTCCACAAAAATGCTAATGGCTAATCGACTACCGATTTCTTTAACTAATCTCCTGCTTCTCCAGTACAGTGGTTTGTTTATGGCAAAGATAATTAGAAAAATAAACACTATCTTGTTCAAAAACATTGGATACGTCTGCAGGTAATGTTCTTTAGCCTGCTGCTGTACAAGAGCATTGTTGGCCGTTCAACCTGCAGCTGTAGAAGGGAAATATACGTTTGACTTTGTCCATGTTTATCATTAGGTATAGGATATTGGTAGCGTGATCTGCATTTTAATATTTTGTTTTCAGGGCTTCGATATTTTCAACAACCAGCGATATCATCATAAAGAAAATTGCATTAATAAATGTCTGTTCTCCTCCACTGAGATCTAAAAATGTGTGTAAAAGAGAAAAGACACCAAGGATGGTTTCCCCAGGTTTTTTGAAGGCTCAGAGCAGGCAGATTAGACTCTTCCCTTCTTCAATCTCCTCCTGGACCTTGTCGCTGGAGGTGGCAATCTCAGCCTGTGAAGACAAAACGGCACACAGGAAGGACCCCAGCGTTCCTCCTATCGCGGCGTAGAAGGCCCAGCCGAGGGAACAGAGGGCCGGCCTAAAGGGCAAGGCCTCAGCGCCACAGTAGTTGATCACCTTCTCTGATCCCCAACCAGCAGGGTACAGCATGAGGCCCACCATCAGCAACAGGCCTGGAAGCATAGCAGAGGATGAGACCAGTGGTTTAGTCACGTACGCATAAACACCGGGGAAGAAAGCACAAACAGATCACAGTGCAGCTGGGAACATGGTGACTCAACTCTGGGAAAGAATACATGTATTTTTCAGCTGACAAGCATTTGATTTTGTGTTGACAGGAAAGAGCCCATTTGACCACATGTCACATAATGATAGATTACCTACTTGACAGACATGAGCAATCAAACACACCTGTGGCCATTGTTGTAGAAATATGAAGGAGACTTGGAGAGGTTTGGTTGGAATATCCAACCTACAACTAGGAACATTTTGAAGGAACGCCACTAGATGATGCCAATTTATAAACGTAGATGTTTCAACTTGTAAACGTAATAACAACACAAGCATTCCCTGAAGGCTAGGCATGATAATACAACACTCATAGGCTTGTATAGACATGTAACCACTATAAACTCTGTGTCCGGGATTCTAGATTATTAGCATTAGCAACGATAAATGCAATCCAGCTGCTCAGCATTTTGAGTTTCTCGATGGCTCTTCCCTACATTTCCTGAACTCAGTCACTGAAAAATACAGGTAGGATTATTGTACTTCCAATCTATTTCTTTTTTAACTTCTAATTTACTTAACACAAAATATTTGATAATTTTGATCCAGATTTTTGTTTGACATCACATCTTTATATTGCAGAAGTCTGATCTGAGATGCTCATCTTGTTTTGTCTGGAAATAGTTTTCATTCAGTTTGGTGACAACATTATTATAAAGTTATAAAAATACATGATATCAGACATATTTCCATTGTATTTTGTGTTCACATAGTCCACCAGCCTTTTTTAAGAAGGACACAATAATGAAATGTCTGAAATGAAGATATATTGCAAAATAAGAGCTAACTAAAAGGAAAGGAAAATGTAATTTTGCACATTTGAAAATTCAAGTTCTTGAGTTTCTTTGTTGTTTGCAGTATATACAAATAATGTATATTACTGTAGGTATCCTGTTGGCCCTGTGGTCGGATATCTCTTTATCTCATTCAAATCGTTCATGTCTACTCCGAATGAACACTTGAAGAAGTTGATGAAAAACATAAACTCGAACGGACATCTCACCTCCGATAGCCTGGAGCAGTCCACAGATGTTGAATATGCTCTTCTTCAGGATGCTCTGGAAGCACAGGCTGAAGATGGAGATACAGGCGACTCCTGCTAGAACTAAGATCCCTGCTGCCAGAAACAACATGGCCGCCTGCCAGAAGCCGCTGGCCACTTCTCCAAATGTCCGAGCGTAGGGCCCGCAGCTCACCCCAATTCCCCGGGCCCCGACACGAAGGCAGCGGCTGTACAGGCCGAGAGACGGCCGGTACTCCCCCGAGTCCACGCCCGCCCCGCTCGCACTGGAGTCCGAGCGGGGGGATCCCAGCAGCCAATCAGGGCTCATGAAGGCAATAAGCTCAGCAAAGGCCACCACAATGCTGAGTAGTGTCCAGAGCATAGAGCGGCAGGTTACAATAACATGGCACATGATGCTCACTCTTTCTGAGATGGTCACAAAGTAAAAAAATATATAATTCTTGAACCCTTCAACTGACTGATACTGGGGAGTTTAAATTCCTTTACTACAAAGAGAGGTTCCAGTAGGTTCCCTGTTCTGATCGTATCCTCTCTGAGCAGATGTTTTTCCTCCTCTCAGTCGGTATTCTTTGCTCTCGCCTCTTCTTCTTCTTTAATGAGGCAAGGTCTGGCTCTGGTCATCCCAAACAGCTATAACGCACCGAAGCAGCTTCCCTCAGCCATGACAACGTTTGAGAAAGCACACCTATAGACACAGAGACACAAGAGGGTCAGAGACAAGCAGAATCTGTAAACATACAGTATGAAGTAGGAGTAACTGACAGGAAAAGGGGGGAAGAGGGGGGAAAGGGGAGATAAGGGGGAGAAATGCCTGAAACAGGATAAGAAGGCTGAACAGCAAATGATTTCCCATCCACCATGAATCATCAAACTCCCTCGTGTTTGTCCTACAGGATGTTTAATGTGTACCATTGTCATCAATTAGGACCCAACATCTTCCCATGGTAAGCTACTTCATATTCAGCCAGCTGTGAGTGTAGCATGAGCAACACTTTCAGATGTCTGTTGGACGATGAATCACACACAAAACTGCAAGTTTATACTGTCTTCATTTTACTTGAGAGTACTGGCCTTTTAGTCATTGATTGTATCTGTGAAATGACAGGAGCCTTGTGTGTTTTGCAACTGAGCAGCTGTCAGCACAGATCAGCGCAGAGCTCTGTTACAGCATGTCACATTTCACAGTAACACACAGGGTAACATGCCAGATCCTAACTGCAGGGGCAAGCACACACGTCACACCAACTGGAGTTCACTATTCAAATTACAGTCTGCATCAAAATCAAATGTCTTTGTTCTTTCTTCAACAGCAATCAATACTTGATTACAAAAAAAAGTATAACTTGTAACAGATGACTTGAGTGCTCAATGCTGCATGTGTGTCTGAATTTGATTCAGAGTGGAAGTCTGTGTATTTGAGTGAGCGTAAATGAGTCCCAATCAGAGTGATTGTGATACTGTTGCTATGTTATGATACAGTTGCCGTGACCAAACTGGCCTCGACACAGCAATGGTCTCATGGGAGCACCGAGGCTTTCTAAGAAACCCTCTGATGTCATCAACCAGAATTATCATACACACAGGAAAATGTGTGGGAGCAAGGTTGACTCTGCTGTTATAGCTCTAGTAGTCTATAGAATCTAATTCAAAGATTATCACAGCAAAATGCCTATTTGTTTAATCTCATTTGAGGATTGTTCCTGTTTTTAGGTGAGGATTACTTTGTCTTGTGTCGTTCCCATCAGCATGAGCATAATTCTTTTGTAACAGAGGATGCAGTAGAGGTCATCTTCCCAGCTATAACTTTGATAAAGCAACTTAAAAAAATATCTGTGATGATGTACTGATTTATTCTGCTCCGCATGGATTTAGCTATATCTTTCCTGCTCTGTAACTAGATGATGTTGTCCATATTCTCAATTCCACCAACAAAGCTCTGTTTTGTCAATCGATTGTCCCATGGGGGGAAACAGCTCTTCCTACTGAAGTAAAGGTCCCTTTCAACTGCTGACAGTGAGGTTTGTAACAGGATATTTTTTCTAGAAAGAGAAGTTGCTGTTAACTATAAAATGAAAGCAATTCTTCAAAGCTTTCACATTAAAAGGGAAGGGCAGCTAAACAGATGAGTTGACTGTTATCATGTTAATGCTCTCATTCTAACTGAATGTGTCATTTTGTCGGTGATGAAAACTTCTGTCCAAAAACCTTAATTAAAAGTCAGCCTGATGACCTGAGGGGAATGAATGTGGTATTAGGTTATCCATAACGTGCACGCCTCCAGTCAGGATGGTAAATCATCCCACTACATCTGCAGGGAATGAACACTATCCTGCATGTTGTCTGATATGATCTGAGTCACAATTCCCCGGCCACAAACTAGGAGCATTATCTCATGCAGCTAAAAGGTTGACTGATTCATCTGAGGCCGGGGTCGAGTAGAAACCAGAAAAACAGAGTCACAGGCATGACAACATCTAAAGAGCTAAGGTATGAGATGTGAAACACTTAAGATGCGGGCATAACTCAGTTCAGGGGGATTTACTCATGTCTGCACTTCACGGTTGTGTTTTAAGGAGTTCTGCTGTAGTTGTGACAGGTTTGTTGTGCTTCCAGTTTGCTTTGTCTTGAATTTGATATTGATGCCCATCTAACATTCACCGTCAAGTTTGTATCTTACCATCTACTTTGCTCTAGCAGAATTTCACAGGAACGTCTCTGCTTAACATTGCTTTATTCTCATTCTACAATTTTGCATCCTAATTCGAGATTTCAAGAACCCTCAACTGAGGTACATTTCAGTTTCAACTGAGCTGAATGTTATAGCAGACATGGATAAAGACACTACAACGACATTATTATCGGCCAACAAAGGAAACGGCCGTAACAAGCAGGAAGCAAACAGGAAGCATTGGTGTATGTCAGGATAAACTGCTAAAAAGTCTTTCAATCAGAATTTTCTAGCAAGTGTCCACCAAACTTATAGAAAAAATGTCTGAAGAAACATGTTTGCGTTTGTGTTTCTACTTCCAGGAATGACAACAAGAAATATAATCAGATGTTGATATTTGAACTGTGTTTGGGGTGTGCCCTATTCTATTCTAGTCCATTCCAGGCCTCCTCTCAAAATCATAGCTGTCCTTATTGTCATCAAAGTTTCCATTCTGCAGAAGTTTCAATGTTTTTTGCCTGACCGTCTTTTAGCACTATTTAAAGCAAACCTTAGCATTACAGCAATTACTGATGTGGTGTGTGCGCATCCTGAAGAAACATATGTGTGTAAATGCCTATGTTTGTTTGAATGGGTTTTAGTTGTTTAGCCACCCTGTCAACAGTTTTGGATTCTCAGTGAACGTTGAGTCTTCTGTTTACAGCAGATTATAGCCCCTCCAGGCCGGGCATGGTGCTCTCGGTTGAGACTACAATGCCCTCAAATTAGCAGTTCTGCCTCTTTAAACTACCGGGATGGAGCCTAAACATGCCTTGTCAAGGTAGTCAGAAGGCACAGTGTGTGATCTCCCCCAGTACTTACAGGAAATATCTTCACTCATACCTCATCACGGCTCTCTGTAGTCTCACAGAGGACTGCACTCAGAGGAAGGGGGAAACATGAAGGGACTTTTTATTTGTATTAGTGGGGTAAAGAGTAGAGAATTTAGACGAAGTATGTTGCCTTCGAAGATGAACATTATGATTCTAACACCTTCATAACCCAATTAACATATGTATTTTCTATTTAAAGGATCAGTTGTGTTTAAATGCTACATATTAGCTGATCATCTAAATATGAATACATCTTTAGCACTTTTTGGTGTTAAAATCATTTGAGTTTGAGAAATCTGGTGATTTGCTTGTGTGTGTGTTTTTGCATGCTTGCATGTGTGTATGTGCTTGTTAGGGTGCATGCTGCTTTGTCATTAAGCGAGCAGAAAGGTCACTACATCCTGAAAGTGATGAATACTTTCCGCTTGTTTGCTGGTTGTTAAACAGACTTCTGGGAAAGTGCTTCAACAGCATTTCCTTAAGGTCAAGACTTTTTGTGTGTTTAAGTGAGCGCTGAGGGAGGAGTGTTTTACACTTCATAGCACATCAGAATTATGACTTATTCATAACCCCGCGATCAAGGTGCTGTGGGTGAGAGGTCTCGGCCTCCAAGTTGCTTTTGATAGATATGTATCTTAAATAACTGTCAGATCTTTTTTACTGCAGGTCTCCATGTGCCTGTGGAGACACCGACATAGATATGCATTGTCTAACACTGACAGGTCATGGGTCTTGTGCTTCTTTCATGAATCCTCCACGATGCTTAGTTAACTGATGATACAGTAGATACTATACAAGATGAAAGGAGTAATGTGGTTCTGCATCTGATCTGGACCGGCTCATTCCCACCATAGACTGTATATATAAAGATTCCCACACTGTTTTCATGTCCTGACAAAAACCCAAGTGCTGCCACACAGGATTATATGCATGTAGTGAAGGCCTGGAGCCAACTTACACACAGTTCTCCAAACCTTCATTGAGCCGGCCAACATGAACAGTGTCCTTGCTGCTATGAGACAAACTTCCTCTTTTGGAATTTACAAAAAATACAAACCACGGGCCAGCAGCCAGCCATGTGGACTACAGGTTTGGCTGTGAAAACGTTTTGGCCAGGCAGCCCTACAGTATATGCTCAATAACATGTCTACTAATGAAGCGTCAGTTTGAGTGGAGCCCTTTCAAAGCCTCAAAGCATATGAGGGTCAGTCGGTTGGCCGTTAGTTAAAGGAGCCCACTGAGTAGTAAATCTAGAGTAATTGGTCCGAGATATCAGCAAAGGCTCTGGTAGCATGCCAATGTGCTGAGGTAATGAGGGCCGGCCGCTGAAGTGTGCTCTTGAGAGTGAAAGTGAATGAGGACTGAAAGTGGGTGGAGCAGAGATCTGAAGCTCAGTTGACCCAGATTGTTCTTCAAAGAGGTGGGACACAGAGTTTGAGATAAACAACTCCATTGATTTACAAAAATAAAACAATTCTGAGAGATGATGGAAATTCTTTTGTTTCTCTATAATGGCAAGAGCGTGTCCCTGTTTAGGAAAATGTATTCAAGCTGTTAGATCCACCGCCCAGATCCGATGACCCCCCAGTTGATCTGGGCTGGGAGGACTCGATTAGCTCATTTTCTCTTGACGCACAGATCCTGTACCAGAGACCTCAAACCAAGGCAATCTGTTCCCTAAGCTGGTCTGCTCTGGTCATGCATCTGGACCAGCCAGGAGGAAGGCCCTCAAACCAAAACCACATAAGACGCTGCTTCACCATCTTCAGGCTACACACAGCTACACAAACAAAATGTGTATGGTGAGGAAATCACAGGCCACTGATGAGGGTTTCATTTCCATCAGTATCTCCAAGAATCCAAAAACCTAAGAGATATGAAACAGTCAGAGTTGGGCAGGACCAAACATATCCCTCTTTCATAAAAGAATGCCGTTGAGCTCCAGGTGAGGTGAGGGAGAATGAAGCAATGTAGCTTGAATACTGAACCTCCCACACACCCATTACACACTCAACTCTCAATATCTCAATAAATGTCATAGTCATTGGAAAGGGAAGGCTTCCCATTCCTTATAAAGTATCTGTGCTGGCATGGCAGAGTGGATGATGTAAGAACAGGCAAGCCATAACACCAGTCTGAATAGAGACGCCCATACCCTGCAGAAATGCCTCATGAACTCTCATTTATATCTGCTGAACAACAACAGATCAACAATGTGCTTCAGTTGCCCTTAGCAGTGTGAAAGTAGATCTGTGAACTTAAGAAACCCGAACCATCAGAAGTAGAGAGAACAAAGCCTTTCGAACAAAAGGATGGAACTTGCACGAGGAACTAATGAGTTGTACATCCCTTTGATTGTCACACCGAAGCCTTAGGGAGGCAAACATCCACCTGCTCTCACAGTGTGCTACACACAGAGGAGAGAAGACAAAAGAGTCTTGCAAAACACAACAAACAGACAGAGATACGTTTAGCTCTCTCAATTTCCCCAGATAATGTGAGACAACTCAAGCTGCTATCCTAAAGAGCTCGTTCTTGCTAAGCATAACCATGTGAGCCACTGCTTTGGTAGCCCTCCACAAACAGTGAATAAAAGAGTTGTAAGAGGGAAAATGCTTCCCATGGATAAACACTTACCACAAGTTGTGTGTCTCATAACTTCTGTGAGTGATTGCAGCCATCAAAAGCATATTTGTTTGCTCTGGAGTTTGTTTAGATGTATTTAACAGACCCAGATTAAACACTATAAAACAATTCAAGATGTTTAAGCCATTAGTTGTTATTCTTTGACTGTGTATTAAGATTAAAGACATGCCAGAAGTTTCAGCTTTCAAATACAACGAGGAGGCTTGAGGTCTTCGATGACAAAAGGGGTCTGTAGAAATGTACACAACAAGTGATGAGCCCTCCACCAGTGTGCTGAAACAATACAACCCACTTTACTGACGCACAAACATATAAATAAATATACAGCCATAAACTGTGAAAGCTGCCATCCTGTGCTCACTTGTCCAAGCTATAATCGCATCAAAACGCACGACTTCCCTGAGGAAAGTATCAGCCAAGCCCGTTTGTGTGCATGTGTTTGTGCCAAAAAGCCTGAATAAAATCGGCCCACTTCATCTGGTGCCACTCAACTTAAACAAAGGCTGCACAAAGACATGCCGACACCGGCCCCCTCACGCACTCTTCAGCTCTCAAAGACATGCCACCGTTGGCCCAGAATGCACTCCCTCATTCTCAAAGGCATGTCGATGTGGCCCCTAACCTATTCAATCTGCGCAACACCCCGGCCCCTCACTCCCCACGCTGACTCTGCAGTGGTCCCACCGTTTCTGACGCACAAAGCCCCTGAGTGACCCTCACATTTCACTGACACAAAGACAGGAATGACATGGCCTTGCTATAGCCCATCGCCTTTTTTTGCTTGTTTTTAAGATGATGGATGCCAACTTTTCACTTATTTTCTTAAGAACTCTATACTGTTCCTTTTACAGTGATGTTTGAAGGACCTCACAGGTGTTTTGGTTAACGTTGAATAATTACGAACTTAAAGTTGCTTATACTGGTAGCTGCTGGTTTCCATACAATATGAAAACATGCAGAAGATCAGTGTACTTCTAATGAAAAGTACTTCAGTCTGAGAAAACTGAACTTCAGGATCCATGACAGATCATTTCAAAATTGCAAGATGGAGAGGGACAGTAGTGTCCTAGAAGATAGGAAATGCATCAAGTAACCTAAAACTTAAAATAACTAGTAAGAAACTAAGCAACAATGTGAAGAACTGCCAATGAGTAATACATATTATAACATACAAGGAGTCTTTAATTCTCTGGTAGTTGTAATCATAAATCACAGTAGAGGCATAGTAATCAATTTGTTCTTCTATCTGGTAAAAATCTCTATAAATCCAGTTGACATATAGCCACAAGACAGTTTTTAAAGCATCAACATTTTTCTTTTGACTTTTGAATAAAACCTCCCTCCATCCATTTAGCATTGACAAGTTTGCACTTGTCAAAACTAATTCTAGGAAAAGAAGGCAGGTGAGAGCAATCCCACTTACATAATATACAGCACAATTTCATCATAAAATCAGTCCTGGAATTTATTATATTTAATACAAAAACTCTGATTTGTAACAGTATAGAAGTGTAATAGCACACTGAATGGGTGGTGATAATTCCCTCCTCTCATCGTGTCACTTTAGTTTGTCCTTGAACTCAGCTAGTATAAACACTGAACCTTTTCCTGGTTTTGTTTGGTTTATGATGTAGCACCACTTCCCCTCTCAGTGCAGTGTGTGTCAGGCAGAGAGCTCCATGGTGGCTCTCACACAGATTGACCTCCTCCCTGCACCTCAAGGGCATGGCCTTGTGTGGTGGAAAGAGAAACTTAGATCAAAAGGGTGAAAGATGGATTAAGTAATAATAACAAAAAATGCTATAGTTAGGGTTCTAGTGGAGGAGATTTCTCTAATTGCTACTGTGCTGTGGTGTCAAATGCTGCAAGATGGTGTCCCTGAACACGAAGTTGTAGAATTGTCACTTTCTCCAAATCCACATTCATCAACTACTGTACCTCCATTCAAATTGTATGTAGGTGGCTGCTTCAGTATGTGAATCAATGAAGCATGCACACTTTCTCCATAGCAGTTGGGAATACTAGATATGCAAAGAGGAGCTTGACTGAGAAAAAAGTTTAAAGTAGGTTTTCTGACAGTTAGAATAACTTTAACGTCAGCTAGACTTCTTGCATTGAGTATGTCAATCAGAAAAAAGACCATTTCGTAAATGACACTTTCAGAAACACGAGTTGAATCTACCAGCCAAAAAGGAGATGTGTGAAATCTTATCGTAAAAGAGCTACATTGTGTTTGCTCGTCGCATTGTCTTCTACTCACAGAGCCGACGTGGTGTGATGTTGCAGCCGACGTGAAGAAGCCGTCCTTTGTGTTGAACCGCTGCTGTGTTCCCGGTGCAGCCCAGCGCTCACTCACTCCAGGCTCCTTTCTTCAGGACGTTTTCTCTTTCCTTCTCACCTCACTTAGAGCCATCCCACCACCGTCTGACGTCGCCCTTTCTCCCCTTCTCTCCTCCCTCGCAATTCTCCCCTTCTCTCCTCCCTCGCAATTCTCCCTTCCCCCACTCCGTTTGTCAGAGAGAAAGAAGAAGAAAAGTTGCGAAGATGATGTCAAAGATGATGACGACTTCCTGAAACGCGACTTCCCAAAAACTCCATGAAACTTGTCCAGGCTAATTTAGTCACGCTTTTTTTCAGCTTTTTCTCAGTTTCAAGTTCTCCTTTTTTTTACTTATAAGTAAGCTGACAATGCATTTTCTCACAGGTCAAAGGCAAAAGTAAGATACTGAAAAACTTCAAAGCAACATCCTTTAAATATGAATGATTTGACCTGATTAACTCTTTGAACAATGCCAGGTATAGGGTCTTGAATTTGTATTTCATTATTATTATTTTTCATGTCCATGTGTTTTGATGGCTTTGGAACTAAAACAGTAGTGTCTCTACTGTAGCTTTGTTTAGCTTCATTAGGCAGCACTAAGTAACAAGAGAACACACTTCATTATTTTCTTCATGTGAGGCTCCAGAAACATTTTAAAATCCTAAACTGTGTCTCCTGTAGAACATAAACTGTGTTATTTCTTCTTGAGCTACAGACATTAACCACACAGTGAATGTCACTGGGCCCTAACTGTATGTTTTGAAGGATGTGTGTGGCTTGTAAGCAATGGTAAAATGTTGACAGTGATACATTTCTGGAGGAAGTCCATATAGAATCTGTTTAGAGTCACTTGGAATATCAGAATATCCTTACAGACAGGTTTGTTAAACATGTTCATGCTTTTATTTTGTGCAGAATGGAATCAATGGTCTTTTCAGCTCTCTGCATTGGCCTCTGGTGTGTTTTGGAATAATGTTTAAAATATTCCTCCTTGATAAGTCTGGTTTAAATCATAAAGCAGTCGGCTTACAGATCCTAGAGTCCAAACTAAAAACATGAAGCAGCAAAATCACAAAATGTAATTCAAATACTGCAGCTGAAGAGGACTTGCTTTAAATCTGAATCAACTTAATGGTAAACTCTTCTACTAAAAATACAATCTTAAAAACGTACTTCTTTATCCTTCTCGCTCCTCTATTTGTTTCTCTTCCTCTTAAACCTTTTTTAGCCTTCAAAAAAAAGAATGAATGCCCTAAATTACCCATGCTGGTGTTTCTTATTTATTGTTATTTAAGCCTTATGGCAAGCTCTGTAAGCTACCCATTTGAATGAAATGTCCTGTAACTAGTCTTACCTTCATATCAAATACACCCTTAAAGTTAGACCCGAGAAGACTGCATATCTTTTTACCTGCTCTATTTAGTGACTTTTGTTCTGATTTACAAATATAACGTAGTAATCTGGTGTAGAGATTCTCCGTTCTTGTCTTTTTGGGTTCTTACAGTTTTTAACTTAACTTTAATCTAACACACGGTATACTATGAGTAAATACAGCTTGTGCCAGACATATTTTCGCACGGTCATCAATGTCGTTTTTATTCTTTGTTAGCACTACAATATCAGTTCAGTTAGCTTGTTATGTTATATTTCATAGTAGTATAATATCCCTGCAGTAATTCACAATTTGGTGAAGATCAAGCTGTACATTGTTTGTTGAGACTATAAATAATGATGGTATAAGCAAAGACCCCACAAAGTGTCACATTGATGAGGTTCTAATTGTGATTATTTCATGTGTTTGACATGCATCATCAAGTTTGTTATAGGCTTGCCAACCCATATTTGTACTGTGTGTGTGACTGAGCAAGTCCATCATTATGAGTTTGACCACATTGGTTTACTGCGTTCTCACTGCATGCTGTTTCTGTTATTTTCTAGACCATATACAACACCCTTAAACAGCAACTCCTCTCCCCAGCCTGTTAACACCAGCTCTAATTTCCTCTGTGGGATGCTGCAGTGGGAGTTTGTTGAGTGCAGCTCTTCACGCTGCCCTCCTGACATTCTTCACAGCCTGAGACTTCGTACCCTACAGTTTGTCTCTTCGCTCACGCGGGACCTTGCTCCTCCACCGCGGCCCAGCCACTGTGTCATTTGGTCGGCCCTGCCTTCAGGGCTTCCTCTTTGCACACCAGATCTGTCTGTGTGTGTCCTCCTGGTGAGAACACTGTGGGAGGCAGAGGAGTATGTAAATAGATGAGTGTGTGGTGACCACAGCGCTCCGGTCTCAGAAGGAAGATGCTCTGAGCTGCAGGGCAACTCCATGGGAAACACAGACAGGACCCAATAGACACTGAGAGAGGATTGGTTTTGATGGTTAGTGGCTGTGGGGAGGAAGTTACACTCTATAAATAATGCCATGATGCCATTCCTGGTGCGTGCACAGATATGTATTTGACTCTGAAAATAAGGGCTGGTATAATTGCTGGTATAATTGTGTTAATTGCAGTAGGGCTTTAAATATATATGCACTGTTTCTAAAACTTAAGTCTGAGTTGTGGTGTTTATTTGTGGAAATGTTGTGAACAATCCATTTTGTATAATGATTGTTTGGGAAAACAAAGTAGTTAAAAAAACATCTTAAACATGAAAATGTAAATGTTTTGTAGATGGAGTTATTATTGTTCAGTGTAAGTCGTTTTGTCTCTTTCAACTTTGACCATGTATTGACTTTGGTTGAACTAACTACTATATATATAATGTATATACTTCAGTCCAGTGAGGTAAACGTGAACATACAGCAGGCAGCAGTGTGGTCACAGGAATTAAAAAAATAAAAGAGGATAATCCATTATTTCTATTTTAGTTTTTGGGGGGTTTTCACAGCAGTATTGCGTTTCTATTATAGAGTTTGATGTTGGAAATGAGGTCACAGCCAACTCACATGAAACACAAATAAAGTATGACATAAAGGTGACACGAGCCGGGTTAGTAACTCAAACAGACCTTGCTGGGACAAGCTGTGCATGATTTAAGGCTTCAGAAATAGACACAGAAAAAACTTGTATATCTCCTTTCAGGAAAAACATATTTTCATCATGATGGATAATTACTGTGTTTAATTTAATGCATAAACAAAAGCAGTCTGTGTGTGACTCACATGTGTAGACATAAACACCCAAAGGGATCATCATATATGGTGATTTTGTGGACTTTTTACTTTTGGCTCACCACATGCTTTACAAATATTTTGAGTCTTGCTTATCGAATTTTGTTTATCCGACAAATCCTCTTCTACTTATCTCAACATATTAATCAACTTGAAGACACAAGTAACAACCTGAAAGGCAGCAACATGCATAAAATCAGATCAAGCACATCAACCTAACATCAACAGCATTACACTGCAGTTTGTTTAGCCAGAAGCAACACAACGCTTTGGTGATGGTGATTAATGAATTGTGTTTGGATAACACCAGCTAACTCAGTTTTAAAGGTTCATTCCTCAATAGTGCTCTTCACAATCCTATAATAGTGATTTTGAATATAGAACATGTACACAAGGATGTAAAGAGAGTATTATTTTATGTTTCCTGTGATTATCTTTCTATGCACATTCAAGAGGTTTTCTTTGGAGTCAAGCTGTGTGATTATAAGAAGAAGGTGAAACGTTGATGTACACCTTCTATAGAGTTCTACATGTCTTCTTAACAAGATGTAATGAAAAGCTGTGCAGCTGCTTTATTACAGTGAACTACAAGTTGTTTGATCAAACCTCTTTTAACTTTATGGGTATCTAAAATGTGTGTTCACCTGTTGCGATGCAGCTGCTGTGACTGAGCTGTAGCTGGTGTGCTGAAAAACTTAAACTTTGAAACAAGAATTTACATTAAAATGCGGAGAAGTGTCAACAGAGTGCGAAATGCTGACACTTAAGAGACAACATAAATGGACACCATAGCAACCCTGCGAAGCTGTATGTCCAGGTCTTTTGGGTTTATGTTGTCTTTTAATACTTGTGCACAAACTTATATTAAGAAATATACATGTATAATTTCTGTATATAGAACTCCTTATCAGGGGCGGTTCTAGGGGGGGGGGGCAGTGCCCCCTAACACTGACCTCTGACCCCCCTGTGGCCCCCCTAAAAATGAAAAGTGAAAAAAATGAAAAATGTATGATTTATTACACGATTTATTGAATGACGGAATAGGCGGAACTAACGTTATTCGTTATTCTAGTCGGACCCATTAGAGCGGTGCACTCAGGACCCATTAGAGAGGTGCACTCACTTTCACTATCCGGCTGAAGCGCGCGAAAAACAAACACTTTTCATCTCGGATCATCAGAGGCTGTTGCATCCAAGAAAGACTGATTGAAACCTACGTTTCGAGAGACTACCACGATAATTGAAGGTGATTTAAACTATTCTATCCGTGTAATTGTAGATGTAAAGTAGAGATGTAACTGTTCATTGCCTTTATTTTTATATAAATATGATATGGTGTTAGTGCAAAAAGTATACGATAACTAGTCTAGTTCTCTTTTTCGTCCTGCATTTATTGTGCCCCCCTCAGAAAATAACTGGCCCCCCAGTGGCCCCCCCAGTCAAATTGATCCGCCACTGCTCCTTATTGGTTTTGGTGACTCATTTAAAAGTCAAATTCGTACAAAATCAGTTTTGTGTTAATTCCTGACAATTTAAGACCATCATTTGTTTTAGTGAGGTGTTAGCCAAAAGCCTCCAGTACAGATTGAGAACTCAAAGGCACGAACAGTTTTTCAGAAGATTTTCACTCATTTGGTGTTTTTTGATGGAGTTGGATAGCACACACGCCTCAACACGTCACCTCAACTTTAAATAAATTGAGTTTTGATGACCCACAACAACATGTCATTCCCATATTTCCTACAAACACACCATTCTGTGATCTCTTGTATAAAACATCTGATTCATGTTTCTTTACCCATTAAATCAAGTATCTTGTCCATACACAAGCAGATACTGAAGAAAGTGCACTATTGTGCCCTCTGGTGTCTGAAAGAAGTATTGCAGTGTATCATTTTACTGCATTCTTTTTATCCAGTACATTTTAAACATTTCAAGAACCTAT